TTCACATTAACAGACGGGATTTCTTACCACAGGTTTTGACCCCCACGCAGCCCTGGGACGTGGTAGCCACGCTGGGCTCACCAGGCCTGGGCTTATTGAGCGGACCTTCCCTTTCTGTAGGAGTCTTTGCAGCTTGGGTCCACGAAGCCCCGGCCTCCCCCCTGCCGGTGGCCTGAGGGACCTTCCGTGCAGGGGCTGCCCTCCCGGGTCCACGTGGGCAGGGGTGAAGGCACGTGATGAACCTGAAGACCCAGAGGAAGGGCCTGGCTCAAGAGAGACCATGGAGGGGAGAGGGTGTGCGTGGAGCAACCACCCCGTGGGGCATCTCTCCTGGGGCCACCTGGAAATGTGCAGCCTGCCGTGTTCTGGCTCTTGCGCCTCATCACTCACAACAATGTATTTCATCAACAGCGCTTATTACAGCTACAAGAAGTGCTGTCACTTTCAAACGAAACACAGGGACCCGGGCCTGATGGCGCTTTAGCTCCCTTGGATCCACTGCTCCAGTATTGTCGGCACTTGTCGGGTGGTTGTAACAGGAGGGCGCTGCATGCTCTCGAGGGTCAAAATCTGTACCACGGCGCTGCTTTGAGCACATCGAGTTCACACACAGTTTGTGACTCTGAGTAGTTTCACATTAAAGCCCCTGATGGTGGGAGACCTATGTCCTCAATGGGCAAGTTTGCAGAAGTGTTTGAAATAGCACACAGGGGCTCCTGGGTGGCTCAGTCAGCTACGTGTCTGCCTTTGGCTCAGGTCATGATCCCAGGTCCTGGAGTCGAGCCCCACATCGGGCCCCCTGTTCAGCGGGGAGCCTGCTTCTCCCTCTCCTCGCCACTTGTGCTCTTTCTCTCTATCTCTGTCGCCCAGTCTCTGTCTCTCTCTCAAATAAATAAATAAAAGCTTTTTCTTTGAGATTTTTCTTTATTTATTTGACAGAGACAGAGAGAGACACAGCGAGAGAGGGAACACAAGCAGGGGCAGTGGGAGAGGGAGAAGCAGGCCTCCCGCCCAGCAGGGAGCCCGATGCGGGGGTCGATCCCAGGACTCTGGGACCATGACCTCGATCCCAGGACCCTGGGATCATGTGACCTGAGCCCAAGGCAGACGCTTAACGACTGAGCCACCCAGGCGCCCCCTCTGTTAAAGTCTTTTTAAATTTTCATCTCTAAAGTTACATTCTATCCTTCAAGGTATTTAATCTAGTTTTTGTGCATTTGTTAAGTTTTCTTTGTTTACAACTTTGGAGTGCAGTGTGTTCTAACAAAACAAAATACACTCAAAATCAAGTGTATGGCTCTGTTCTATTCACCTGTCTGATCATATTATTTTATACATTTCTGTGTATGTATGTGGTTGCTTTATCTTTTTTTTTCTTCTCCCTTTTTTTTGGTTTAGTTTGTTTTATTTTTTTGTTTTGTCATTTTTTTGCTCGGTTAAAGTCTTCTTAAATTTTCTTTTTTTTTTTTTAAGTTTTTTAAATTCTTTTTTTCTCTAAAGTTACATTCTATCCTTTCAAGGTATTTAATCTTGTTTTTGTACATATATAAGTTTTCTTTCTTTACAATTTTGGGATGCAGTGTCTTCTAACATCACAAAATACACTCAAAATCTAGTGTCTGGCTCTTTCTATTCACCTGGCTGATCATATTCTTTTTTCTTTTTTTTGTGTGTGTGGTTGGTTTTTTGTTTTTTTCCTTTTTTTCTCCCTCTTTATCTGTTGGTTTGCTTTATTCAATCCTTTCAAAGTATTTAATCTTGTTTTTGCACATACGTACATTTTCTTTCTTTACAATTTTGGGATGCAGTTTCTTCTAACATCACAAAATACACTCAAAATATAGTGTCTGGCTCTGTTCTATTCACCTGTCGGATCATATTCTTTTTTGCATTTCTGTGTGTGTGTGCAGTTGTTGTTTTTTGTTTTTCCCTCCCCTTTTTTTGTTTGGTTTGCTTTATTTTTTTGTTGTTCTATTAAAGTCTTAAAATTTTCATCTCTCCAGTTACATTCTGTCATTTCAATGTATTTCATCTTGTTTTTGTATCTATGTAAGTTTTCTTTCTTTACAATTTGGGGATGAAGTGTCTTCTAACAGAACAAAATACACTCAAAATCTAGTGGATGGCTCTGTTCTAATCACCTGTCTGATCACACTCTTTTCACCATTTCTAGTGTGTGGGGGGTTGCTTTTTCTTCCTTCACCCCCTCCACTTTTTTTGTTTGGTTGGTTGGTTGGCTTTATTTTTGTGTCGTTTTTTATTCTGTTAAAGTCTTTTTAATAAAATTTTCATCTCTAAAGTTACACTCTATCCTTCAAGTTATTTAATCTTGTTTTTGTACCTTTGTAAGTTTCTTTCTTTACAATTTTGGGATGCAGTGTCTTCTAACAAAATAAATACACTCAAAGTCTAGTGTATGGCTCTGTTCTATTCACTTGTGTCAAAATATTATTTTTTACATTTCTGTGTATGTGTGTGTGGTTGCTTTATCTTTTTTTTTCTTCTCCCTTTTTTTTTGATTGTTTGTTTTGTCATTTTTTTGCTTGGTTAAAGTCTTTTTAAATTTTCTTTTTTTAAAAGTCTTTTTAAATTTTTTTTTCTCTAAAGGTACATTCTATCCTTTCAAGATATTTAATCTTGTTTTTGTACATATAGAAGTTTTCTTTGTTTACAATTTTGGGATGCAGTTTCTTCTAATAGACCAAAATACACTCAAAATCTACTGTCTGGCTCTTTCTTTCACCCGTCTGATCATATTCTTTTTTTTTTTTTTTTTTTTAAGATTTTACGTATTTATTCGACAAGCAGAGAGAGAGCACAAGTAGGCAGAGTGGCAGGCAGAGGAAGAGGGAGAAGCAGGCTCTCCGCAGAGCAGGGAACCCAACCCGGGGCTCGATCCCAACCCTGGGACCATGACCTGAGCCCAAGGCAGAGGCTTAACGACTGAGCTGCCCAGGCGGCCTCTTCCTCTTTTCTCTAGGAGTAGGGGTAAGATCAGAATGTTTCTCGTTTAATGTTTAAAAATCTCTCCTACCAATCGATCTAGGTCCAAAATAGTAACCCAATTTGTTTGTTGGTTCATATGGCTACTCAAGCGTTTCTTTCTTTTTGACTCCGTCTGGTCCATTTTTGTAGGTAATCACTGAATACACGGTTTATTCCAGGAATATAATGAAACAGTAGAAATTCAGTGTAATTCACAGCATTCATGCCTTAAAGGAGGAGAGGCGTGTGATTTCTTCAAATGATAATTCTCATTTGAAATTAGTATGTACGTATGTATATAGATACACTCTACCTACAATTCAGCCTGAAATCCAAATTGTCCCAAATGACTCCTTTCCTCTCACACACAATGCCGGGGTCCTAGAGGAAAGGGAGCCCCACCGGCGCGTGGGACAACTGCAAGGTTCCTGTCCACACAGAGCTGACATGTACAGAATCCGCGCGGCACCAAGAGCCAAACGGTAAACTCGGGGCTCTCGCTGAGCCAGCAGGAGACACAAGCCTCGAGTCGTGAGCAGTGACACTGCGCTTCTGCGATGCCGCTTCCGCGATGCCGCTTCTGCCAGGATCCCGCTACTGCGATGCCGCCTCCGCGATGCCGCCTCTGCGATCCCGCTTCTGCGATGCCGCTTCCGCGATGCCGCTTCTGCCAGGATCCCGCTACTGCGATGCCGCCTCCGCGATGCCGCCTCCGCGATGCCGCCTCCGCGATGCCGCCTCCGCGATGCCGCCTCCGCGATGCCGCTTCTGCGATCCCGCTTCTGCGATGCCGCCTCCGCGATGCCGCCTCCGCGATCCCGCTTCTGCGATGCCGCCTCTGCGATGCCGCCTCTGCGATGCCGCTTCTGCCAGGATCCCGCTTCTGCGATGCCGCTTCTGCCAGGATCCCGCTTCTGCGATGTCGCTTCTGCCAGGATCCCGCTTCTGCGATGTCGCTTCTGCCAGGATCCCGCTACTGCGATGTCGCTTCTGCCAGGATCCCGCTACTGCGATGCCGCCTCTGCGATGCCGCTTCTGCCAGGATCCCGCTTCTGCGATGCCGCTTCTGCCAGGATCCCGCTTCTGCGATGTCGCTTCTGCCAGGATCCCGCTTCTGCGATGTCGCTTCTGCCAGGATCCCGCTACTGCGATGTCGCTTCTGCCAGGATCCCGCTACTGCGATGTCGCTTCTGCCAGGATCCCGCTACTGCGATGCCGCCTCTGCGATGCCGCTTCTGCCAGGATCCCGCTTCTGCGATGCCGCTTCTTCCAGGATCCCGCTTCTGCGATGCCGCTTCTGCCAGGATCCCGCTACTGCGATGTCGCTTCTGCCAGGATCCCGCTACTGCGATGTCGCTTCTGCCAGGATCCCGCTACTGCGATGCCGCTTCTGCCAGGATCCCGCTACTGCGATGCCGCCTCTGCGATGCCGCTTCTGCCAGGATCCCGCTTCTGCGATGCCGCTTCTGCCAGGATCCCGCTTCTGCGATGTCGCTTCTGCCAGGATCCCGCTTCTGCGATGTCGCTTCTGCCAGGATCCCGCTACTGCGATGTCGCTTCTGCCAGGATCCCGCTACTGCGATGTCGCTTCTGCCAGGATCCCGCTACTGCGATGCCGCCTCTGCGATGCCGCTTCTGCCAGGATCCCGCTTCTGCGATGCCGCTTCTGCCAGGATCCCGCTTCTGCGATGCCGCTTCTGCCAGGATCCCGCTACTGCGATGCCGCTTCTGCCAGGATCCCGCTACTGCGATGTCGCTTCTGCCAGGATCCCGCTACTGCGATGCCGCTTCTGCGATGCCGCTTCTGCCAGGATCCCGCTTCTGCGATCCCGCTTCTGCGACCCCGCTGCAATGTCAGCGGGCTGCTGGGACACGTCCGACGACCTGATTGGCCAGGAGCCCTCCCTGCGTGGGAGAACGTGATGACGCAGCAGGACGCCTCACGGCAGAGACTATAAAAGGCCGGCCCTCGGGGCTTGATCGTCTTTTCTGCGACCAGAGCGTACAAGTAAGTGTACTCGCTTTTGGGGTCTCACAATTCGATTATGTTCAGTATCAAACGTTGGATCGTGGAGTTAGTGGTGGAACTGGTAGCTACCTTTGTGCAGGATAAGATCAGATTTTATGTTCCTGAATTATTCCAGACATTACTCGAGAACCAATGGAAGTTCACGGATTGTTTAAAAAAGATGTGCTGGCGTCTGTTGAAGAAGACCCTTATTTATGTCCTGAGCAATCTTGCTTCCCTCATACACAACCTGAAGGTCCGAGAAGTCTTCCTAAATATGCCATGTTATTCTGGACACAGGAGGAGGTTTGCTGAACCCACAGAGGTGGTTGTGCTTTAGCTACTCTTAAACACCTAAGCGATCGGGGTTCCTTGGGGGGATACTTAGCACCAGGAGGAGAGCAAATTACTTTACTAGCTGATCTACTGCCATGGGAGGCTTGTGTGTGTGCTCAGCTCTGTCCCTGAGCCTGGCGCCTTGTACCAAACTCGCAAACAAGACTGGCTCACAACTGTGAATGGAAACACCGCAACTGAATCACTAATGTTAAGCACTCCTAACGTGGAGCCCAGAGGCCACTGTACAAATTGGTCCTATGCACGTCCACGTCTGGACCCAGCCTGTGCCTACCACAAACCGCTACATTCTGCCATGGTTCTCAGCTGGAAGCTTATTTTGCTGAGCTCCACCTCGCAACTATCGTCTATGTATATAGTAAAGCCACTTTTTTATGCCGCACCCATCATCTTTGTTTTTTTTCTAATATTTTATTGATTTCTTTATTTGACAGAGAGAGACACAGCGAGAGAGGGAACACCAGCAGGGGAGTAGGGGAGGGAAAAGCAGGCGTCCCGCGGAGCAGGGAGCCCGATTCGGGGCTCGATCCCAGGACCCTGGGAGCATGACCTGAGCTGAAGGCAGACGCTTAACGACTGATCTACCCAGGCGCCCCACCGATCATCTTTCTTTCAGAAGAACTTCCACAAGCCTGCGGGTTTACCTTCATCCACTGTATCTCCTCCCCCGATCAGAGCACATTTACGGTTCCTCTTGAATCTGTGTCTCCCAGATTTCAAAAGAAGTTTTGTTTCGCTTTGCAGCCTCAGTTCTTTCTTTTTTGACACAAAGGAGCAAATAAACTTCTTACCAACAAATAGAGTGTCTGCAGCCTTATTCCCCCGCCCTAGGCTGACTTCTTTCTCCTGTGTGGCTCAGGCTCTGTGGCCAGGATCCGAGGGAAAAACCAGGGTGGGTGAGAAAGAGAGCTCCATGCCATGGCGTAGGGTGGGCAGGGGAGGGAGGGGTCTGAAGCCTGGCTGAGATTTGCTGCGTGGTGGATGGGGGTGGGGTGGTTTCTCAGCCTATATTCTGGGTCTCAGCATCCCAGGGGTTTTAGAGATGTCTCCTCTCCCCGGGAGAAGTTCAAGGTGAGAGAAGTGCGAACCATGAACTGGTCGAAGGCGTCTTTACCAGTTGTGGGGCATGTATCCCAAATTTGGCCAGAGTAGAGCCGGCTGGGATGAGGACTGAGCTGGGGGAAGGAATAGGGTCCCCAAACTCAGGTTCCAGGGGACCCACGTTGCGGTGTGGGCAGTGGTGAGACTCCTAAGGCTCACGAGAACGCCCCCGCCCCCGGGTCAGGAGAGACCCGTGGAAGGGAAAGGGTGTGAGTGGGGAACTCGGAGGTCCTTGGGGTGACCAGGAAATGTGGAGCCTGCCTGTGTCGGGCTCCCTGTTCAGCGTGGAGTCTACTTCTCCCTCTCCCTCTGCGTCTTGCCCCACTCGTACTCTCTCTCACTCACATATAAATAAAATCTTGTTTAAAAAGTCCATACCCCCAAAGTGATATACACACGCAATCCACATTAAAATCCTAATGGCATTGTGGGCAGGAAGGCGAAAAAATTCATCCTTCAATTCATATGGTATCTCAACAGACCCCAAGGAGCCAGAACAATCTAGAAATAGTAGAAGTGGGCAGCTTGTACTTCCCGATTTCAAAACGTATTACTGAGCTACAGGAAACAAAAGAGTGAGGTCCTGGCATAGACACAGAGACACACGTAGACCAAATGAACAGAACAGAGAGCCCCTAAATTGCAGAGCCTTCCACACATGGCCAAATGATCTTCCCCAGGGTGCCAATCCCACTCGAATGAGAAGGGACAGTCTCTTCAATGAAAAGGCTTGGGAAGACAGGATATCCACATACAAAGAAGGAATCCGGACCCTTCCTTTCCACCATACACAAAAATTAACTGAAAATAGATAATGCGTCTCAAAAGAGAACCTAAGACCGTGACGCTGAGAGAGGAAAAGCGGAGAAAAGCTTCATGACATTGGACTTGGCAATGATGTCGGGGACATGACACCAAAAACACAGGCAACAAAACCAACGAGAAAACCGGGGCCAGTTCAAGCTTACAGACTGTTGGCCCTCAGGAGAAACAATCAACTTGGGGAAAAGGGAACCTACACAATGGGGAAAAGACTTGCGGTTCCTATGTCTGGGAAGGGATTCAAATCGAGAAGGTGTAAAGAAACTCTACAATTCACAACAACAAGGAAAACAAACTACCCAAGTAAACAATGGGCAAAAATCTTAAAGAGACATTTCTCCAAAGATATGCAACGGCCACCAAGCCTCTGAGAACAGGCTCAGCACCAGTAATCATTACAGAAAGCAAATCAAAGAACAAAGACATATCATGTCACACCCGTTAGGATGGCCACTATCAACAATAACCAAAAGAACCCAAAACCCAAAAACCGTAAAACAACTTGTGTTGGGGAGGATCTGGAGGCATTGGAACCCTGGCCCCATGTCGGTGAAAATGTAAAATGGCCCATCGGCCGTGGAACACGGTGCAGAGTTTCCTCCAAAGGAAGAAATAGACTTACCACGTGATGGAGCCGTCTCATTCCCGATGTTACATCACATCCAAGAATTGGAAGCAACGTGACGAAGGACACTTGCACATCCCCGTTCGATGCAGTGTTCTTCTCCAGCGTCAAGCACCCACATGTCCCCACACACAGGAATGGAGAAAGAACCTGAGGCATCTACATACAACGGAATGTTCTTCCATCTTAGAAAAGAAGGATATTCTGGCCCTTCTGCCAAGTGAAATGAGCAAGTCACAGAAAGACAAATACCCTATGATTCTCCTTACACGTGGTATCTAAAGTAGTCAAATTTATAGAAACAGAAAGAACGATGGGATCCCGTGGGGGCAGGGAAGAGGAAACGCAGAGCTGTGGGTACAGATGTTCAGTCACAAAATGAACAGGTGCTAGAGATGCGTTGTATGGCAATGAGAATTTGCATACCCCTGCTGTCCCATACGCTGGTGTATGGCTAATGGTAGTAAATGTAATGTGATTGTTTTCAACCTACTATACTTTTGAACACATTTCTTTAAGAGAGAAAATTGGGGTGAAGAGTCTGGGGCCTTTGAAACCTTCTTGCCTTCAAAGAGGAAGTTCTGGGTGTGACAAATACAAAGTGTTAGTGGGTGAGTTTCAATTCCTGTTCTCAGTCGGGCCGTTTCACCCCAGATGGTTGCTTGTGGGGTCTCTGAGCCCCTCAAGAGCCCACAGTGGGGAACTGTCTCAAAGCTCCAGTGATTATCGGGAGATACCAGGAGAAGAGCCGGGCAGGGATGGAAACAGGGGTAGAGGAGGTAGCAGTGTGGAAGGGGGACAGATGAAAGGATTCAAGAGAGCTGAGGAACCTAAGACGTGACATTAAAAAATAAAAAGAAAGTGGGGCGCCTGGGTGGCTCAGTTGTTATGCGTCTGCCTTCGGCTCAGGTCATGATCCGAGAGTCTTGGGATCGAGCCCCGCATCGGGCTCCCTGTTCGGCGTGAGGCTTGCTTCTCCCTCTCCCACTCCCCCTCCATGTGTTCCCTGTCTCGTTGTCTCTCTCTGTCAAATAAGTAAATAAATAAAATCTTTTTTTTTAAGATTTTTATTTATTTATTTGACAGAGAGAGACACAGCGAGAGAGGGAACACAAGCAGGGGGAGTCGGAGAGGGAGAAGCAGGCTTCCCGCCCAGCAGGGAGCCCGACGCAGGGCTCGATCCCAGGACCCTGGGATCATGACCTGAGCCGAAGGCAGACGCTTAACGACTGAGCCACCCAGGCGCCCCATAAATAAAATCTTAAAGATAAAAAAAATAAAAAGAAAAAAGGGGGTGCCTGGTTGACTCAGTCCATAGAGTAGGAGACTCTTGTGGTGGTCTCAAGCTTACTTTAAAAAATAAAAATAGAAGTTCTTGGGTGGCTCAGTTGGTTAAGCGTCCAACTCTTGATCTCAGCTCAGGTATTGATCTCAGGGATTGTGTTCTAGCCCCGTGTTGGGCTGCATGCTGGGCATGAAGCCTATTAAAAACAATGTGTTTTAATTAATAATAAAATTTAAAATAATGGAAATCAAAAAAGGAAGAATGAGGACAGGGGATGGTGTGGAGGGAGACACCTTAGATGAGCAGGTTGGGAAGCTCCTGAGTCAGGTGCTCTGTGTGGCCATGGGAGCTCCCTTGTGTTTAAGAAAACCTTTGCCTTTTCTGAAGATACTAAATAGAATTAGCACCCTAAAGGGGAAGCGTCTAGCACGCAGTGCAGAGCAGACAGGAGGAGAGTCCCTCTGGCGTTAACAAACGGTGAGGGCAAAGAGGACACTTTGCAGAGGGCACAAAACATGTCTCTTGGTGACGTTCCTCCCACTCACGGGCTCCAGGATAGGCATGGAGGGAACCCCTCCGAGCGGGCAGAGCCGCAAAGTCACAGGAAAGGGACCAGAGCAACTGCTTCTTGGAATATCAACCATCCTCACCCAAGAGAGCCAGCTGGTGCTCTGGGGCCTGTCCTCTTTCTGGGCTCAAGGGTACCGTTGGGGTTCACATTAACAGACGGGATTTCTTACCACAGGTTTTGACCCCCACGCAGCCCTGGGACGTGGTAGCCACGCTGGGCTCACCAGGCCTGGGCTTATTGAGCGGACCTTCCCTTTCTGTAGGAGTCTTTGCAGCTTGGGTCCACGAAGCCCCGGCCTCCCCCCTGCCGGTGGCCTGAGGGACCTTCCGTGCAGGGGCTGCCCTCCCGGGTCCACGTGGGCAGGGGTGAAGGCACGTGATGAACCTGAAGACCCAGAGGAAGGGCCTGGCTCAAGAGAGACCATGGAGGGGAGAGGGTGTGCGTGGAGCAACCACCCCGTGGGGCATCTCTCCTGGGGCCACCTGGAAATGTGCAGCCTGCCGTGTTCTGGCTCTTGCGCCTCATCACTCACAACAATGTATTTCATCAACAGCGCCTATTACAGCTACAAGAAGTGCTGTCACTTTCAAACGAAACACAGGGACCCGGGCCTGATGGCGCTTTAGCTCCCTTGGATCCACTGCTCCAGTATTGTCGGCACTTGTCGGGTGGTTGTAACAGGAGGGCGCTGCATGCTCTCGAGGGTCAAAATCTGTACCACGGCGCTGCTTTGAGCACATCGAGTTCACACACAGTTTGTGACTCTGAGTAGTTTCACATTAAAGCCCCTGATGGTGGGCGACCTATGTCCTCAATGGGCAAGTTTGCAGAAGTGTTTGAAATAGCACACAGGGGCTCCTGGGTGGCTCAGTCAGCTACGTGTCTGCCTTTGGCTCAGGTCATGATCCCAGGTCCTGGAGTGGAGCCCCACATCGGGCCCCCTGTTCAGCGGGGAGCCTGCTTCTCCCTCTCCTCGCCACTTGTGCTCTCTCTCACTATCTCTGTCGCCCAGTCTCTGTCTCTCTCTCAAATAAATAAATAAAAGCTTTTTCTTTGAGATTTTTCTTTATTTATTTGACAGAGACAGAGAGAGACACAGCGAGAGAGGGAACACAAGCAGGGGCAGTGGGAGAGGGAGAAGCAGGCTTCATGCCAAGCAGGGAGCCCGATGCGGGGGTCGATCCCAGGACTCTGGGATCATGACCTCGATCCCAGGACCCTGGGATCATGTGACCTGAGCCCAAGGCAGACGCTTAACGACTGAGCCACCCAGGCGCCCCCTCTGTTAAAGTCTTTTTAAATTGTCATCTCTAAAGTTACATTCTATCCTTCAAGGTATTTAATCTAGTTTTTGTACATTTGTTAAGTTTTCTTTGTTTACAACTTTGGGATGCAGTG